TTATCATCTCAGCCCTTCACCAGCCTACCGTCCACTTCTCTAACTAGAAAGTCACGAATCAGCGCAGAGTGTCCCCTTCAGAGAGGCCACACTGCCAGCTGCACTTGGGGTCTCTGCACTGCTGGCTCATTTTCATTCTTCTCTTTGCTTGACTTCTGCCGCCCTGCTAGCAGTCAGCGGACGTCTGTCCTGTCCTCGGCCGACTGTCTAGTCCTGCCGAGAGCGTCTCCCTCTTTCGCTGCACGTGAACTCCCCTTGACACTTGCCTCCGCTTTCTTCTTCCCGTGCTCCACTGTCAGCCACTCAGCAGGACTGCGCCCTGAGCGAATGCTGAGGCCCCGCTCTGGACCCCGCGGCCCTCCTCTGCCATAGCTGGATGCCTCGTCTCCCGTTGCCACCCGGTTTCCTTCGCTCTTGCACGTTCCGTACCGACCCTGCGACCCATCTCGTCACAGCTTCACCAGCTCTTTTCTTTTACTCTCTGTCCTCTTCCGTCTTCTCTTGCCTTCCATTCTTTCCCCAATCCACTCAACTTTCCTCTACTTTGGTCTGCTAAAGGGAAGAACTGGCCTCTCCTAGAGTAGCAGTGTGCAAAAGAAATAATGGAAAAGTGCTCAGTGGTCAGACACGGCAGTGACCATTGCGTTGGACAGTGTGGTTACAGATGCGCATCTCCTTTTTAAAACAGCCTCTCCTGTCCTACCTCGTCTCTGTCTTCCCAGTGCTCTTCCTTTGCCTGCTCCTCTTCCAGCTCTTCAATGTAGCTGGTCTTGAGGATTTCACCTCTGGCTGGCTTCTCCTTTTACCCTGTACCCTCCCCTGATTCATCTCAGGGGTCTCATCCGGCAGCTGGTGCTTCCGAGTCACATCTCCCATACCCACACTGCAGCCAAAGGTCCAAGGAGGTCCCCCAGGCTGGACATGCCAGAAATGAAGTCATCGTCTTCCCTCATAAACCCTCTTCTCTTGTCTCCATCAGGAGCAGCATAATCCACGTGACACCTAAGCCGGAAAATTATTTTTCCTACTTCACCCCCCCCCCAGCCAGTCTATTGCAAAAGGTCATGAAGTCTACTTTACCAGGATGTCTTCAAACATTGCATTCACTTGTGTTCCTCCTCCACTTCTACAGTCCAGTTCCTTGTCTTTCCTCCCTTGGCTTATCGCAGTGGTCTCTCCAGTGACCTGGCCATCTTTACTCTTAGTTACTTCCATTCCATCCAGCATCCCCTCTTTCACCAAAATTATCTTATATTCACCTAAAATGACCAACTCTGAGACTGCACCCACAATTTAAAAAGCAAACAACCAGAGCCTAAAGCTGTATCGTATGTTTCAGTCTAGAGCCTGTTCAGCATGGCCAGCTTTCTTCAGGACATCCCACGGTTCTCCTGTCTGACTCTTTTCTTTTAACTCCAGCACTGAGAAGCACTGTAGATGGTTCTGGAAGGCCATAATATGTTTAACAGAAGCCAGCTCCTTTTATTTTAATAACACACAACCTCTATGGCTTTGAAGACTGTCAAAAGCTGGATTTACCCTCCAGGTCTTAACATCTTCTCCTCCTTCCCTCTTTCCCTCAGGTGTGGGGGACTCTTTTCCCTCTTTTACTGCCCCACACACTTCTTGAAATTCTGAGTGTAATATGCTTCCTTTCCCACACATGCAAACACAATTTTGCATGCATTGGGAGGGTTCAAGACGCAGAAGCCCATCCATGGGATTGGGTAGTGAATCTTACTAGAGGATGATTCTAAAAATGCAGTCCAGATTATGTTCTGCTTACCATTTAAGACCAGGATGCAGGGTTAAGGAGATTTCCTAAGACATTCTAGAAACCCTTAGAGCATTCAATGGTACATTTTAGAACTTGAACTTTGAACATTGCAAATTGTCTGACTAAATAGTAAAAATAATTTCAAAATTGTAGTTTGTGGCTAATTTGAACTGAGCTTCTCTCCTCCCACACCCTTCCTTTAGAATACCTACTGGAAGCACTTTGTTTCCCACAAGCTCTGGGAACCTCACACCCTGTTGGCTCTCATAGTGGAGACTATTACTGCAAAAGCTTCTCAGAGAGCCTTAAGTCTAAACTCCTGTACGTCTAGGCCCATTGTGTGCTCCGCTCCTCCCCTCCCTATGCCAGTCCAGCATCCTGGGGTCCGGGATTACCACACATCTTATATCCTCAGGGACCCTTGTGGGGTATAAGCCTACGTATGTCAGATCAGCATTCCACATGCCTTCAGTGAGCCGAGCTTTCTCTTCAGCAGCCCAGCTTCTAGGCAGGAGATAACCACGGGGATTGACCTCTAAGAGTCCTGTTAGGCCACAGAAGGTGTCACCTACTTTCACAGGGGCACCATGTGCTGATTCTACCCACAAATGAGGTGGATCGTCAACAGCCTGCGCCGGCACTCGGCCTAAGAACCATGCAAGCACAAAGTCACATAGTTGGCTCACAGGTCTCTCCTGACTTCACCCTCTCAGCCTGGGTGGAGCTTCTCCCTGCTCTGTCTGTACTCAGTTCTGTCTGTCACCCTTTCTCATAATTATCCAATGTATTTGGGCTCTTGCCAGTCTGCCTTGGTAAGTTTCTTGCCCACTGGAAACTCTTTCCCCTGGTCTCCTGAGTCATTCAGAGCTCTGCTTTCTCTTGCATTTCTGCTCCTCCGACCCCTCCCAGCACTTCCCTCCCTGGGTTCAGCCAATGCCCAGTTTCATCCTGGGCCAAATGGGAACAACTATGTAGAAAGAGTTTATTGGACTAAAAACTGAGTCTCCCCCTTACCCTCTGTGCTTTCCCCCCTCACCAAAGCTTTTCAGAGTCACATTTCCAAAGGAATCTAAATCTGGAAGGATTTAGATCTGCTGAAAAATGCTAAACCTAGAGTGTTCGAAATTTTTGGCAGTCCCTCCCACATCTGATGTTACGAACACTGTTTATAGATGCTTGGAAAGAAGCCTTTAATACTTGTATTGTGTTTTAACTTGCTTTCCTTTGGAGGCAGGGAATTGTCAAGTAAGTATCCACATCGTTCTGGAAAAGCACAAGTGCTGGGTAAACATCCAGTGCCAAGGGTTCACGCAGAATCCACAATTCAAAGTGTTAATACTCACAACACGCTGAGTTTGCCACGGTGCAGGTTTCTTGCCCTTGCTCCTCGCATCTCCGGTTTTGAAGCACTGCAGCTCTAACCATATGCTTGTGAAACAAAGAATCGTTCTGAGATTGCTTTATTTTTCAGTTTCTTTACTGAAAATCAAGGTGAAAAGCATCAAATTGCCTTCTGTGTGTATATATACAATGCAATGTATATATCAGTACACAGTGTCTGTGCTGGAATGCATACTCTGCACTGTATAATATGTTGTGTATTATACAACTGTGTGTCACCCGGACACCAACCCTGGGTTGAGTCTCAGATTACAAACCTCATGACCCATGCTGTGGCCGCAGCGTCCTCTTGCTCTCCTCACAGCCCCGGCTTGCTTCTGGCACACACTGAAATATCCTTAGGTGAAGGAAGAAACCCACGAGTTTCATTTGAGAGGCCCACTAAAACAGAAGAAAGAGCAGATGCCCTGGGAAGTGATGATTAATGTGTAGGATGCATCCAAGTGTGAGAACTGGCGTGCCCCATCCTTGAGATTTCGCTCAGTGGAGATGATGTCAGCCGGGGGTGTCATTTGGTAGAGATGTGTTTTCTCTCTCCATCCTTCATTAGTGATTATAATACCATTTGGTCCACTTACCACTTACGATTATATAATATGTTTTTATCGAAGAGTTCCTGAGAAAATAAAGGTACCTTGTTTCCTCCCTATGCAAAAATCCACAAGCTGTTCTAGCAGGCAGGCCGATCTACTGAGAAAGGCCAGGAATTATTAGACTAAATTATGAGCTGAACTTAATTTGGGAACAAAGCATCCATTGTGTATAACTCCCCATGATAGCCAAGAGGATGTCATCGCTTTTCTGACAACCGCTTTCTCCCTAGCACGTTCTAAAATAAGCAGAGTCCCCAGTGCAAAGGTACAGCGAGCTCGCGGGAAGCATTGACAAGGCTTCCTTTTCTCTCCCTATTCTGTAGGCGCTTTAGTGCAGAGTTTGCCCAGAGACGCCAGGGTATGAGCTTTCTGAATTTGTAGACTGGTGCACTCTTTCATTTCTGTTTTAGTTCTTTGCTGGCATGCTGGGGAAGCATGATTTGTGCCACACAGGAATGTCTGTTCACTTGGAAAATGCTTGTGCATGAATGAAGTGGTTGCTAATGCTGCTCTAAACTGTACTAAGTTTCTTACTTGGCTTTGTTTGCTGCTTCCAAGGGGATCAAGGTAACCCTTTCTCTTTGTGTCTCCCCAGGATAGGAACTGATGTATTTGGGAGATGCAGTAAAAGCTGGGACAAGTGTCCCTCATTCACCCCCAGTTCTTAGAGGGCAATTTAAGGGAATCCAGTGCCACCAACGGTGGTCTACTCATCAGGAATCCATTAGGACTTCTTCCTTATAAAAGTTCTTAGTTGAATTGGGAGGTCCTGGTCCCCAAAACTGAAAAGGGACAAGTAACCTTAGGTATGGTATAGCAGCAGAATGCTTCCCAACCCATAGGGCTGGTTCCGTCGCCTGGCTTGTAAGTCACACCACATCCCAATTTGTGACCACCACAATACTGTCATATCGCTATCTGCAAAATGGCCAGCAGTCCAGGGAGTGTGGCCTCTTAGTCCCATGCATAGGGCTCCTCTTTAGTTATAAAGCAAGCCCCTTCCAGGTCAAAAGTTCCCCCATCCTAGATACTGCTAGACAGGGAGGAGAGGGACAGCTGTTGTCGGAGCCTGCCATCCCCAGCACCGCAGAGAAAGGAGGGCAGGACAGAGCAGCCTCAGGTCGAGGGTCCTCGGGGTAGTGGGTCTGGCCCTGGTCTCTCTCGGCCAGTAGGCACACAGCCAGCAGCCTCTTGTTCAGTGCTGCACTTCTGGCTTCTTTCTGTTCCAGACCGCCTGTTAGCCGTGCAGCTCCTCAGCCCGAGAAACTCCAGAAGAACAACATCATCAAAAAAAAGAAGCTGGTTGAGGTAAGGAGATTAAACTGCTGCAGCTGTAAACCAGTCTTGATGTTCTGAAGCTGCCTGGTGGACATCTCCATCTGCCTGTCCGGTGGATGCCATCATGAACTCACATGACTCTGTTGGCTCCCTGTGTCCCCCACCCCTGCACCCAGAATCATCCGCTGGTCCAGTCCTTCTCCCTGATGCCCTGTCGTCAAGCCTGTCAATACTCACTCTAAATGTCTTAGTCCCGCAAGCCTGGCTCCCTACTACTCAGGCCCTCGGCACCCCTTTCGTGGATAAGAAGGAGAGATAAGGAAAGAGAGCACTTACTTGCTGTCTGTACTGTTACCTAAGCCCTTTCCATGGCCACTTGACACACTGCCCATGGTGGAGTCTTTGGTATAAGCTCTCACCTATGAGGTGGGTACTATTAATGTTCCCACTGGCAAAGGACGATGCAGTGGCCCAAGGAATGTTAAGGGATTTGTCATGTCCAGTGCATCAGAGTCACCGCCCTGGGGAAGGAATTGGACTCAGTCTTTGAGACATGAAGATCAGCTCTAGTAAACCTATTTACATAGGGAGACCAGCCAGCCCACAGTTCACTCTTAAAATATAAATCTTTTTTATTTAACATCTTAAGAGCCAGGAGATTCCCCCTTTGCAAGTGGTATTCAGGTCCTGGTTTCAGAACTTTACTCAGGGCCACTTTCCAAGCTCATTGGCTATGGTTCTCCACTGCAGATCTCAAACCCCAAACTCACCACTTAGTGTTCTCTGACTCTAACTTGGACTGCCAAGTCCCTTCCTTCCCAGAAGGAAATTTTGCTTCCTTCTGCTTGGAAGGCCCCTTTCTCTGCTCCCCACACCCAAGCCCCCCTCAATGTCTGCACCGTGTGGTCCTTCCTGATGTCCCTCACCCTGACCCCAACCCCACCTCCCGTCCTTACCCCTTCCCCAGCCCTCATTGCATACTCTAGCGCCTGCCTTCTTTCAAATTTATCTTCCTCTGAGGGCTGGGGATTTGGCTCAGTGGCACAGCGCCTGCCTGGCAAGAGTGAGGTCCTGAGTTTGATTCTTGATACTCTCCCCCCACCAGAAAATTCCCTTCTACACTATAAATTCAGTGATACTCAAAAAACTTTTTTCAGAGTTTTTTTTTTAATTGCAAAGCGGACTTTTTTAGATTTAACAGGGAACACCACACCAATAAGGAAACGCAGCTAAACTTCAGAGAAGACAGGATCCAAGAGCTCAGCCCTCGAAAGCCGAGGCCTCACCTCTCTCCTGCCAGCAGAGACTTGTGCGTGTCTAACGCACTCTTCTTTCTGAAGATCTCTTGAACCTCTGTGCCTCCACATGGCTAACTGTAGATGCCTCTCAGAACCTCAGTGAAACAGTCCCGGGCAGAGTCACACATTAAACACAGCTTCTGGGAAGCACCTTACGGAGAGTTTGAGGTGTGGGTGGAGACTCAGTGAGCTGACAGTAGAAGGCTTTCCAGATGAGGGACATTTTGTGTTTATTTTGGTTTCTTGGCCACACTCAGGATTAAGCTCAGGTCCTTCACACTGGGTTACATTCCCAACATTTAAAAAAAATTTTTGAGACAATCTTGATAAATTGCTAAGTTGCCCAGGCTGGGCTTTAGTTTGTGATCCTCCTGCCTCAGTCTCTCAGATCACTGGAATTATAGGCAGGTGCCAGCTGAGAGATGTTTTTAAAAAGCAAAATCATAAAGATAGGAAACCTTATAAAATGTGGACGAAGTAGGTGAGCCAGCTTGCCCAGGGCGTGAGAGAGCAGAGGATGTGGGCAGGGGCTCCCCACACAGACTGAAGAGTTGGGCTTTATCCCAGGAGTGGGGAAAGGCAGGGAATGATTTTGAGTAGAGATGTCATGGTATTTTAAGAGAATTAATCTGACGTTTGCAATCGGCAAGCTTTGAAGAGAGTAAAGGCCAGAATTAAGGAAAGTAGAGAGGAGGAGGGATCCACATCCTGCTGACCTATGTCCCACCAGCAGAGTGCCAGGCATAGAAGAGCCCCACATGTATGGCGAATAGAATTAAGAACTGATCTGGATCAGCCGCTGCTCTGTCACAGAGAACAAGACAGGAAGAAGAGAAAGACTAAACCCAGAATAGTATCCAGTTGCTGGGAAGAAAATGCAAATGTGCAGACACTTTGTAGGACAAGTAGGAGCCAACAGAACGAGCCTGGCATTTGCCCCGTATTCTGTCCTGCCAGTCTCTGCCTCACGGATGGGAATTCATCAGAGCAAATGTCTGAGCTGCCATTCAGGTCACCTCAGGAGTGCCTGCCAACCGCAGGCATGAAACCTCTGGGTACCCTTTATAGGACATCAAACCTGTAGAGCTTGGCTCACGTAAAGGAACTAGGAAGTAGCTGTGGCTTAAAAGTCACGGTACTTCTGTGTGATAGCCTGACACCCTTAACATTTCAGGGAACTGAAGAAAGAGCTGTGTTTTGTCCTCAGTGAGTCAGGAAGCAAAACATTTCAGTGAACGGTGATCTCCCCCGCCATACCCTTTCTTGGCATCTGTGGCTGTTAATGCAGTGTGGGTTTGTCGTTCTGCTGTTATTTCCTCTGAGGGTGGCTTTAATCTGTGTGTGTGTGAGCACAGGAGCTGGCTCTGGACCACGTGTTTGGCTACAGAGGATTCGACTGCCGCAACAACCTGCATTACCTTAATGACGGTGCTGACATCATCTTCCACACAGCAGCGGCTGGCGTTGTTCAGAACCTCGCCACAGGTAGCTAGCAGGGCGGAGCTGCCTTCTGAGCACCTCTATGTCTTCTCGGTCTTTATTTATTTATTTATTGGTTTGTTTATTTATTTTTTAATTTTGAAGAGAATAGAGCAAAACAGAACAAGGCAGAGCAGAACAAAACAATACAATCAACATAGGATTTCAAAACAAGACAACAAGAAATCAACAGTGGCTACTGTGATGTCTCATTTTCTTCAAAATAGTTGTCCATATCTTCTTCACACACAGTGAATTCAAACAAGACAAAAACAAAACCGACCAAAAACAAAAGAATGAAAGCATTACAGGCCTTCAAAACCAGACAGTAGGAAAATCAATAATGCTTGCTATGTTTCCTGTTCTCCACAAAACAGCTGTCCATACTTCCACATATATTGAAGTTAAATAATACAAAACAGACTAAAACCAATCAAAACAAAGAGTAAAAGCATTACTGCACTTTACAACAAGATCATAGGAAATCAGCAAGGCTACCATGATGTCTTGTTTTGTCCCTTTTGTGTCTTGTTTTTCTCATAATTTGTTTTGCTTTGGTTTTGTTTTTCTTTCTAATCCAGAAAGGATAGATGCACATGCATAGGCTTGTACATGCCTAGAGCTTTTGCTAGAGTTTACAAGAATTGATCTTATTATGCGTGATGGTATGAACAGCTACTTTGAAGAAAGAGACACTATATTTTCCTGGTCTTTAGGTGCTCCGGAGCTTAACCGTCCCTTCACTTCAGAGCCTGCTCCTCTCATTTCCAGGCTGGTGTTGTTTAGTCCTGGACATGGTCAGAGTCAGAGCTCTCCTCCTTTCTGGCCCGAGCCCATCCTGACTTTGGTTAGGCCCAAGAGGAGAGGTGTCCGTGTTCACAACAGATCTCCAGCATGGGAACAAAACTTCTCAGAGACAAAAACCAGGAGCAGAACAGAGGGCAAAATGTCTCATTAGTTTATCACAGTGACTACGTTTTTAGCAGCTCAGACCTTTCAAGTTTTGTTTGTTTTGACTCTTGAGTCAAAAAATGATAATGAACAATAAACAGAAATATCCCCAGAGTGTCCTTTAACACCATGACAGCTCCAGTTAAAAACTAGTTAAAAAGAAACATTCAAAAGCTAACAGATGTCTATATTTTTACCACCAGGTTTAAGTATGATAACATTTTGTCTTATTGATTTGTACCTCAAAATCTTTTTTAAATTTTCACGTTCATTTTCAGTTCTGTGCAGTTGTCACACGTAGATTATAGACTAGGACATCATCCGGTACATAACTGACTTGCGTGTCTTCTGGAAAAGAAGGCTTTGAAATCTTCAGTCATTTCTCGGTTTTCTGGCTACACAGCACAGAGGCAGCAGTGTGCAGCTTCCTTGCACATCAGCGCCGTCATTCACCTCTTTGTTCTTGGCATTTGAGGAAGGTTATAGTGGTCACTTTGGAAATCAACAAACTCATTTGCTACAATTAGATTATAAAATATTTCTTATGCTTTTTTCCACTTTGCTTGGCATGTGTCAAGTTAGGGTTCTGAGAATAAAGCCATGACCTGTACCCAACTGGATTGTTACATGGTGAATAAAAGAGATTAAAAAGAATTCCTGAGGTATTTCTCTCTCTACAGTGTATTAGTCACTTTCCCATCACTGGCACGGAGTACCCAACACCTGAAAATTGAGAAGAGGTTTATTTTAGTCCTCAGCTTCAGTGAGTTCAGTCCATGGCTGACAGGCCCCGAGGCCAAAACAGCATGGTGGAAAGGCCTAGTGTAGGAACACTTCTTACATCACGGTGGTCAGAAAGTGGGGGGAAGAAGAGAGGTGAGCAGCAACTGGGGACAAGAACACACCTTTCCAGGTCACAGCCCTCGGTGCTGGGCCCTTCTGACCAGACCTCGCCTCCCAACTGCACATAGAGCTATGACTCATCGGTAGAGTCAATCCACTGACGAGTATGGCACCCCGGTCACCCAGTAAGCTTCCAGAGTCCTGCCTGAGAATGAAGACTCTTGGGGACAGGTTAGCTCTAACCCATAACACACAGACTTCCCTTTGTGATGAGGAGGTTCCCATGCTCTCAGGAGAATATTACTTCCAGACCCCACTCCTGCCCTGAGCAGATGCAGACGCTGAGAAGCCATGGGTCCTGCGCACTAGGGAGAAGGAAACCTTGAACTTCATCATTTTGGACTCTGGAAACTTTTGTATTTGTATTCTTCTCTATACCCATGTATGGCAGTAGTGGAGTTTGAGTGTATTTGGTGACAGACAATAGCTTTTACATAGCTCTTTTTTTTTTTTTTTAAGATAGATAGATCTTTTTTTTTTAATCGGTACCGGGGATGAAACTCATGACGGTATAACTTGCAAGGCAGGCACTTATGCCACCAAGGTAAATCCCTAGCCCTGGACCTATTAAAGAATATGTGAATTAAACAAAGGAAAAAGCTCTCCAGTCTCCCCAGTGTTGACTGTGAAGGTGAGACTCTGCAAGCGTTAAGCTGTCACTTTTACAAGGACTTTCTGAAGAGGCCACGGCAGCTTTGGCAGCTTTGGCAGCTTTGGGGTTCAGTCTTTCCTGTGATCTCTCTCCTAGGCAGCCAGAGCTTCTACCTGGAGCACACGGATGACATCCTTTGCCTCACAGTGAACCAGCACCCCAAATACAGAAATGTGGTGGCCACCAGCCAGATAGGTAGGGCGACCTGCAGCCATTGAGCAGGGATAGTGACTTGTTCACAGTTTGGGGACAGGGTGGTTGCTGACCTTCATCTTTTCTTATTGTTACTGATTCTTTGAGCTTTAAAGGAATCTGTGATGTAAATTGACACATCTAGTGATTGGTGATTCTGAGAACCATGAAGGCAGAGCAGAACCTGATAGCTCAAAAACGGGTGGTCTGTATCCCTGTGGAATTGTGAGGCTGATCTTTCAGACCCCAAAGAGGCCCGAGGCTGGTCATGGTGTGTGTCTGGCTGTTGTGTAGGAAACTGCTAGTGACAAATGTGAACCGATTCACATTTGTGAAAAGTTGGTTTGTTTGTTTGTTTGTTTTGTTTTTATTTTGTCATTTCAAGGGTGGTTTTTACAGAAGTATCTTCGTGCTTGTTCTCATTGAACCCATGTCCATTTTTTAAATTTCATTTGGAGCTTTCTGATGCTGGTGTTGAGTGCTTCTCTATAGAAATGTGACTTATTTTGGCTGTCATTTTCCCCTGACGCTTCCTCATTGCCATTGCCACCAATGCAGGTGATACCACGGAAACCCCAGGTAAGGCTGTTCCATCTGTGAGTAGTTTAAATCCGCACAGCAAAATCATGTCAGTGTGTTGTGTTTGCCGATTGTATTTGGCTGAACTGCAGATACAAACCATTGACCCACCAGTTTGCTTTGTGTAAAATCCTCCATAAGTGTGTGTGTGTGTGTGTGTGTGTGTGTGTGTGCGCGTATGTTGGACATAAATGTCCACAGGGCTCTGCCTTCAACAAACTGGCCTTCAAAACAAGTTTCCCATTGTCCTTCTCAGATTGGTGCAGACTATGAGTCTCTTATGCCCAGTAACTGTCATGCCCCAAAAAGCTGTCGAAGGAAGACTTTAGCGTAAACACAGGCGTTGCGCTGCCCCGCCATTCACTGTCGTACCTCCCCACACCTAGGAACAACACCTTCGATCCACATATGGGACGCCATGACCAAACACACCCTCTCCATGCTGCGGAGCTTTCACTCCAAAGGGGTGAACTACATCAACTTCAGTGCCACCGGAAAGCTCCTGGTGGCCGTGGGCGTGGACCCTGAGCACACCATCACTGTCTGGCGATGGCAGGAAGGTAAACCGTGCTGGGCGTTTCTCTTTCCTCCAAGGGGCCTGCTAGTTAGGCTTGCATTAGGCTGAAAGCCAGACCGCCTCACTCCAAAGCCTCCCATAAGGAGGAGCAGCTTAGATTTGCTGCAGAATGCCCACTACCCCCAGTCACAGCGGCCAGGGAGCCTGGGCTGCTTAGTAGAAGGTCTCCGAGCGGGTGGGGAAGTGTTGGCATCGGCAGCTTTCCTCCTCCTCCCGTTTATGTGTTCGTGACTTTCCTAGCCAAAATGTTCTTTGTGTTGGCCCAGGGGCTGCTGCAGCCTTCTCACCTTGGTTGCTGCATTATAGGACCTGGGATGACTATCACTGTGCTCTCAGAAGCAAATTTTAATCTCTAAAATATTTGTATATTTTTACTTTTTTGAAATGGAGAGTCATCTTATAATTGAATTATATATAAATGGATTTCTTTCTTATCCTCCTCTAACACCCGCCCACCCACCTACACACACACACACACACACACACACACACACACACACACACACCAGCTGCTACTAAATTTGTGGTAGCCTTACAATTAAAGATGTGCAACTTTCTGAGTGTAGGTTGTACTGCTTTGGCAAAAGCAGATCCAATTAATGAAGCTGCTAATGAGGTCTGTCTGCAGTAGTATCTGGGACACACTGAGAGGCAGATGGAGAGGTGGCATTATCCGATGCAAGGCTCTGAAGTCCCATTATTATCTCATCTTCCCAGGACGGGTCGCAGAGGACTGCCAGGAAAGGGACAGTAGGAGGAAAATGCCAAAACTTCCTGAGCCCCCATTAGAGAAAGAGGTGGATGGGTTATTGACATTGTGGGTGAGACTGACTATATTCCATCTGGAGAGAGTTGGCTCCATAGTATTTCTAGAGAACTGTACTTATTTTTTTTATCAGTATGTTTTCCCAAGTGGCCCCATAATCTAGTGCTCGTTCCTCGTACTGTTATGTGACCCCTCTGATCTGCTAGACTCCGCTAGATGAAACACTTAACAAGTAAATTATAGACTATTACATCCTAGAGTTGGAAGGATTAGAGAGACCTTGATGCCAGTCAGGACTGATCCAGCAGAGAAATTCTTCACCAAGGGCTTTGTTCTTTCCTCTGCTAGATACTTGCAGTGACGTGGCCCTGGCGTCTCCCAAAGGAGCCCACTCACTGGGAAACGTCATTACAAAGCGCTTTCTTAGTAGAGTTGCAGCTGGCTTTGCAACGCTTTCCTTCTACAGCGCTGACCCTCGTCCGATCCTGGGATGAAAGTTGCACACAGCCCCACACACAGCCTGGTCCTCAGTTCAAGTTTCTCCCCTTGCTGCCTCCAGGCGGCCCCTGCTCGGGCCTTGCCGCGCCTTGCCACAGACCCTCGCTCACCCAGGCCTCTCCCAGCCTTCCAGGGGAGGGCGGAGGAGGAGCCAGGTCTTTAAACAGGCTCCCGGGAGAAGAGAGCCCTGCTCTTTGGGAATGTTCTCCTGTCGTTATTGCTGGAGCCAGGCTGTACAGAAGGCTCCTGAGCCCTGATAACATTTAACAGCCTGCCTCCAGTGGCCGTCTCCTCCTGTGAACATGACCTCCCTCCTCTTTCCTTTACTTGAAGTTCTGCTTATAGAAAACATTTATTTGGGGAGATTTATATACTTTTTGTTACCTCATGGAGCATGTTAAAACACTTCTTACTTGTGAAAGATCACTTGCATGAGTGTGTGTGTGTAGGTAATAAAATAGAACGTAAAATGAACTTGTTACATAAAATACGTGTTGTCCTGTTTTACTGATGTCTACATCATTTTCTGAGAAGACTGGAAACAAATGCAAAAAGAGAGACAAGTGTCTCCACAGCTGTACATATCCACGAGGCTAAAGCAAGTAATTTTTAACAAAAATATGCATCCAATTGTTATTTTGCATTTCCTCTGTAACGGTGATTATTGATCACCTTTCTATTTCTTCATTAGCTACTTGAATTCCTTCTCAGTAATTCACCTAAAATCCATCTTCGATGGGGCATAGGAGGTTGTTTTGCTGATTTGTTCTTTATAAATTATTGATATTAATTCTTTAACTCTGAGAAGAGTGGCAAATGCTTTCTCCTAGACTTGTTTGACTTTTAACCTTGTTCACAGTTTCCTTGGAGACCATGAGTTTTAAAACCTGAACTCTACATCAGTGGCGGTGAACCTGTGCCACACGTGCTGCCATGGGCTGTTTTCACTGAAAGCTCTGAAAGGTTCACCATCACCACATCATTACAGTAAATGCAGATTTCAGCAGCTCAGAGAGGTGACCAAGTAGGACTCCCCAGCTCCCTCTGGGAACAGTTCCTTTGGGGATCATCAGAAGACAAGCTACAGGCCGAACTTTATTAAAAACTCACTGCCACTGCTCTACTAGGAAGGACCCATTGTAAACATTTTTAAAAATGTAAAATGAAAAAGATTTGCATGTATAATAAAAACAGAGGAGGCAAGAGAAAGAAATTGGAGCTAAAATATTGAGACTAAGTTAAAAGAAACTTGAAAGAAAAGTAAAGTTTAAAATAAGAATTTACAGTCTTAAAAATAATGACAGAAAAAGGACAGCTTTCAAATGCAGATAGAGACCAAGACGAGCTGAAGGTACAGTGACTGCCCACGCCCAGGACTCACTGTTCAAGCCTGCAGCGTCACTGTGTCACATCTCTTAGTAATGATAATGCCCTATGAACAGGAACAGTTATCCCCAGGAGACGGGTGAGGAAACCGAGGCACAGAGAAGTGAAATAATTTGTCCAAAGATAGTAGACAAGTAAATATGGAATCAGGATTTAATTAAGACCAAGTTTAAATGAAACTTGGGAGATAATAAAAAGAAACATGGATCAAGGAGGGGAAAGGTAGACATTTTAAACCTAAAATGAAAAGGGCTACAGAAAATTTTGTTGTTAAGAAAACAAGCCCAGAGAATATTGGACAGGATAAGACAACAAAAGCTCCTGAAAGGATGGAGTCCCAAACCCTGGGAGCAGATGCGGTGCCCTTGGGTCATTCTGCTGTTTTCCTTACGTGAGAGTCCCCTTCTCGTGGGCGACACAGACAGCTGTGTGGGCGGGTGGGGTTCTGGGAGCAGCTTCTGCTGCTCCCCGTATTTCCCAGACACTGTCTCCCCGTCTTTGGGGACCGCACTCCAAGGGGCGAGAGTGCCGTTACAGAAGAAGGCGCTCTGAGCTGTGCAGGAGCCCACTAGGAGGCCCTGCCCGGCCCAGAACCCGGCTGGCTCACGCAGCAAGGGAGGCCCAGCCTCACTGGACCATGTCCCCACACAGGTGCCAAGGTTGCCAGTCGAGGGGGCCACCTGGAGCGCATATTTGTGGTAGAATTTCGCCCTGACTCTGACACACAGTTTGTGTCTGTTGGGGTCAAACACATGAAGTTCTGGACTCTGGCAGGCAGTGCACTGCTTTACAAGAAAGGGGTCATCGGGTCCATGGAGGCCGCCAAGATGCAGACGATGCTGTCCGTGGCCTTCGGTGCTGTGAGTTCCGCAGACGCTTCCCCACAGGGTGCCCTGAACCTTGGGCTTGGGCTTGGGGTGGGAGTCTGGCCATTTCCACATTACTGCTTGTATTGGCTTTTTAGCAACCAGTAGTTCCTTAGCCCAGATACATGAGTGGAGTGTGTTTCCCCATTTTTTTTCCTGTCAAAAAGATAAGAAAGAAGAACTGTGCCCTGCCCCCACCAGTGCAGGGATTCCTTAGCAGACCCTGATAAGCAAGCCCAGCAGACCTGGGCTTAGGTAGCCACCAAAGATACTGGGAGCAATTGCTTCCCAGCCTTCCTGCTCCACAAATCACCCAGTTGACCACCCAGCGGTCCCTCAGCCAGTGCAAGCTCCCTTGAGTGCAGTCTGCGACACATTCAGCTCTTGTCCTCTAGTGTGGCTTCATCCACCTTGTCCACCTGTGGCTGAGCCACAGGAAGTTGCCTTTCACACTGGAGCTTGCCCCGCCCCTGATGTCACCCAGAGTTGCTCCTGTTAGTGCAGAGCTATACTGTGCAAGGAAGTAGAATGCCCAAGCTGACTAAAGAGAGTAAAGTTCAAAGCAGGGTGATAGTCTCATGATTTCTGTGGCTTTTCTGCAAATTTTACTACTTTAGTCAATGCAGAAGATCAAATTGACTATCTACATCTTGTCCTCTTAGTAGAGGAGGGGCAGCTGAGGAGGGACCCTCTTGAGTGACTTCCTCATGTGGAACATGGCTCTTTGCAGAATAATCTCACTTTCACGGGTGCCATCAATGGAGATGTCTATGTCTGGAAGGACCACTTTCTCATACGGTTGGTGGCCAAGGCTCACACAGGCCCTGTGTTTACAATGTATACCACTCTTCGGGATGGACTCATTGTGACTGGAGGCAAAGAGCGGCCGTAAGTCCGAGCACCTTGAGGATAACTTGTTCTTCCTTACTGTCTTGGGAGAAACTGAACAAAACATCTGTAAAGTGAAGAAAATGCAGATTGTCATTTCCCTGCCTTTTGTACTTTAGGGAGATGAGTCTGTCATGTCTCCAAAAGGGCCACAGGTCCAAAGCTTTCAAAGAGAGAAGTAGCAAAGGGGTTATTGGTGGTCTCAAAAATCTGAGAGGGGTTCGAGTGCAGGGGCACATGAGTGCATCCCAGCTACTCCAGAGGCCGAGGCAAAAAATTGCAGACTCAATTCTCTTTACCAGCCAAGGTAACTTAGCAAGACTCTGTCTCAAAAAATGAAGTGGTACAGCACTTGTCTAGCTAGCGTTTGCAAGGCCTTGGGTTGAGCCTTCCTCTGTGGGGCTGGGATGGGGGAGACAGAGGTTCTGTGGGATGCAGGAAAGATAGTCATGAAGCGTGATGAGCAGAGAATTATTCTCAGAGGTCTAACAAAAATACAGTCTGACTTTCCAGGTTACACTTTTTTTTCCCCCCAAAGATAGTAGCATTTGAAGGCATTTGAGGAAATCTGAATGGTCAGGGGGTTGTAATTGCTCACCAGGAGGACCTGAAAAGTCCATCTTGCTGGGCCTGAGTGGTCATAACCTTCATGATGGGGAGCAGGGGTCTGTGAGGGAGTCTTAGGACAAGAATATTAACTGTGTGATTTATCTTTTTTTAGGACCAAAGAAGGAGGTGCTGTCAAACTGTGGGACCAGGAGATGAAGCGCTGCCGGGCCTTTCAGCTGGAGACAGGGCAGCTGGTGGAGTGTGTGCGCTCCGTGTGCCGAGGCAAAGTGAGGACGGCCAGCTCCCCGAGCTGCCTGCAGCCGGGCCAGGGGAGGGCGCGGGAGTCCCAGGGAGCCTGTCCAGCCAGCACCTCCCCTGTGCTGACTGCGCGAGCCTTAACACAGTCCCTGAGGTGTGAATGGCGTGTAGTGTAGAGGTGGGTTAGCAGACAGACAGACTCAGGTAAGCTACGCCTCCCGGGAGAGCTGGCCACGTTTCCATGAGGCGTTTCTCTACCTGTCTGTGTCCATCAGCTGGAGCTGATGGATGGCTGCTGTGAGGACCTGTGTGCATCCTATGTGACATGTCCTTTATTATACCTGACACCATGTACTCAGTCAGGAGATGTTAGTGATCATTACAGATAATACTCTTATAAACTGAGAAATTATTAAATAATCAGTCAGAAAGAGCAAGGAAGGGCCAACAGACTGACTCAAGGTCGTTGGTTTTCTACTCTTTACTTGGGCTAAGTGCCAAAAACAACTGAGCTGTGAGATCAGAAGCTCAGGGATGTGGCCTGAACCTGTGTATTTTTTTTCTCTTCCCCTTTTTAAATTACCCCCAGGAGATTTACCGTACTTGAAAACAAATCTCGTGGTATCGATCTAAGAATTTGCTCCCTAGATGTTCTCATAAAGAATGGCAAACTTGCCTTTGGAGGCCATGTCTATTGAAATTAGGAATATTATTTTCAAATACTAATTAAAATGGAAAGTTTCAATAGATATTATTTTTAAATAATAAGTTAAGTGACAATCATCCGAAAGGGTGATTATGGGAGATGGACACACGTAGGCCAGAACCAGGACGTTTTCAAGAAATAGATCTTTGTTTGTGGGAGCAAGAGTTTAGTGCTTCTGCTGCTCCGGAACAGAAATTGATTGCTCCAGTGTGTTTTGAGCTTGCAGACCTGGAATCCTCTGGCAGAGGCCGACTGGAGGGAGCGCTGTTCTCGTTCCCACCCCCAGTAGTTAATGGCAAAGAGGCCGAGCGAGAGGGTGGAGATCACACAGAGAAGGATGCTCGAGTTAGTCACCTCTCAGCTCTTCCTATTCTCATGCCATTTTCCCAAGTTTCTCTAGTAGTGGTTTTTATGTTTTCAAAATTGTAACAAAATACACATAATAGGAAACTTACATGTTAACAAGTCGGTGACATTCAGTATATTCACGTTGTTGTACAGCCATCTGCACTGTCCATGCACAGAACTTCATTTCATCCGCTGAACCCTGCCTGCTTTCGACGCTGATCCCTCTTCTCTTCCCTCAGCCCTTGGTAGCCATCGTCCTACTTTCTGTCTCTATGAATTGGACAACTATAAGTACCTCAGACAGTTGTCCTTTTTTCTAATAGTATTTTGGTTACAACAGGGGAAAATTTTAGTAGGAACCAAAGATGGAGAAATAATTGAAGTTGGTGAAAAAAATGCTGCTTCCAACATTCTGATTGATGGACACATGGAGGGGGAGATCTGGGGCCTTGCCACACACCCCTCCAAGGACATCTTCATCTCTGCCAGCAACGATGGCACCGCCCGGATCTGGGACCTGGCCGACAAGGTGAGGGGCCCCTGCCCACCTCAGAGCTCACACGTGGCCTTGCAGCGGCAGGAGCCAAGGAAGGAGTGGGTCGCTGTCAAGTTAGAGATACGGCCGGGAGAGAGCCAGCCACATGTCAACAGTTGAGTGAGGAGGCCTAATAGGGCAAGAAGCCCCCGCTGTCCAGTCTGTCTTTCACTCATCTGTGTACTCAACTACCAAGTTTCGTAGTACAGAAATAATCTCATTGAACCCATAAAGCCTAAATAATTAATTATGAAGTGTCAAGTGTTCCCACACAGGTCAATGTGTTTCCATCAAAATCCCAAGGTTTCCCTTAGGGTATGGTAAAAATTTTAAAGTTCACTTGAGATAAAAATGTAAAATAGCAAAATAGTATAGGGAGGAAAAATGTTAACGAAGCCTAAAGTTTCATCTAGTCTAAAACCAAAAAGTTTTAATAATTAAAATACTCAATTTTATTTCAAAATGGGTAGTAAATGTTTTAGTCATATTTTTAGGGTAAGGGTCAAAGAATAGACATGCAAACCCACACATGGTTGCTGTGCTCCTAAATTAGCTAAATTTTTTTATCAACAGCTATCATTTAACCAAACACCTACTGCTACTTCATGACGTTGTTGTTAATGTTGAGATGAGAAAACTGGGACGGAACTGACCTGACCCCCGCCAGTCAGTGACGGAGCTAAGACTCAGAATTTGAGCTAGCAGACGCTGATCCTTAATTCTTGCCCTTAAGCAGGAGGTTGGCCGTGTACAGCTCAAGGGCCAAGTCGCTTTAGCCATGCTGATTTGTGTGTGCGTTGCTTTTGTACTACGAGAGTTATGACAGAATCCATGTGACCTTCCTAACCAAGTTTTCATAGTTGTCAAAGCCAGCCCTGAAACATGATGTCCCCAAGCTTCTGTAATCACAAGGTTCTGCCCACCTTCGCTCTGGGCAGCCTGAGGTGTGCTGGTCTACCACAGCAGCAAGGGCAGCTGACTGCCCTCTGGGAGCCGGTCTTCCCGGGAGCAGCTGAGGAGACCTGGGCTTAGGTGACTTTCTTTGTGTCAATGTAGAAGCTGCTCAACAAGGTAAACCTAGGCCATGCAGCCAGGTGTGCAGCCTACAGCCCTGATGGGGAGATGGTGGCCATTGGTATGAAGAATGGCGAGTTTGTCATCTTGTTGGTGAACAGCTTGAAAATTTGGGGGAAAAAACGAGACCGAAAATCTGCCATCCAAGATATCAGGTACATAAATAGGGAATCTGGGCAGGGAGGAGACAAGTGGGTCCCGTTCCAAGGGGCCATGACTAGGATAAGGAACTTGGGTCAGTTTCTTAAGTCAGCTGTGAAAGGCTACCCCTCACATGTTCGATTTTTTGCTAATTTCCCCAACAGCGTAATAAAAGTACTTGTAAAATGTCATCTTATACAAGGCTGCACCCAGCCATTTCCTTCTGTGGGATTTGACACAGACTGTTGAATTCCACGGGTGAGGGGAGAAGCTAATTGTGTGTGAGTCACACGAGGTCTCAGTGTCTTTGGGCCTGCAAGGCCTTCAGGAGCGGCCTTGGTGCCTGGCCAGCCCCAGACTGCCTCCTCATGGAACCTGCTCTTGGATTGCTTTTTCTAGAATCAGCCCAGACAACCGATTCTTAGCTGTTGGTTCTTCTGAGCACACAGTTGACTTCTACGACCTCACTCAGGGAACAAGTCTGAACCGCATTGGCTACTGCAAAGACATCCCAAGCTTTGTCATTCAGATGGATTTTTCTGCGGATAGTAAATATATTCAGGTATGCATAGGTTTCATTTCTATCAAAGGCAATCAATAATATTATCTTGTATTACTTGAGTACTTTAGTCTCCCTTCAAAGCTTCATAATTTCTAGTTTTCTGGGGCCGCACGAGGCTATTCCCCGCCACCCTTGAGATGGTCTCACTATGCAGTTCAGAATGGCCTTGACCTCACGATGTAGCTAACTTCGAGTTTGTGACAATCTTCCTGCCCCTTGAGTGCTGGGATTACAGGCGTGTGCCACCGTGCCCAGCGGACTATGCCTCTCTTACTCAGTTCACTTCCGAATTTTGCCAGCCAGTGTGGCCCCTTCAGATTTGGAACCTGCACGCCAGACAGTGGGCTTGGATTGAGTCCATCTTTGGGTCTCTAGGGAGCCAGTCTATGCGGGGGTGTGGAGATGACTCTATCTCAACCTTGGGCCGGAAGCCAACAATAAAGAGACTTCTCCAGCCCTCAACAGAATTGCTCATCTGTGAGCTTAGAGCTGAGTATTCACTGTGAGGGAGAAAGAATGCATTCCTCCATTCATGAAATAATTCCTGAACCAGCACTGTGCTAAGGTTTTGGATGAACAAAACCGGCTTGGTTCCTCCTGCAGCTTGCTCTATGATGGAGAAGGCAAGCATTCAACAATCACAAAATACAATTATGATTACAAATTGTGATTGCATGGAGAAGGCAAAATACAAGGTGCTGGGGAGTATTTACAAAGCGCTGAGTAGAGATTTGGTTCCTGTCTGAGCAACTGGTATTTAAGCTGCGGGCTGTGGGCTGTGTAGGCGTTAGCTAACAAAGCGGGGCGGGAAGGACAGTTTTAGCCATCTGCATGAAACGCCTGAGGGGGAAAAGAACTGGAGTTACTCCAGGAACGGGACAGCCAGGGTGCTTGGGCAGAGGCACTGTGGGGCGAGGGCGAGTCAGCGTACGGGCAGCTGCCATCTTGCAGCTCAGAGCTGAGCTGAAGTCTGGAGCAAAGTCATAGGGATCCGGAGGCAAGGCCTAGGGTCTGGCAAACAGCACCCAAAAGGACTGAGTTGCTACATGGACTCCCTTCTACTTGCAGGTGTCAACAGGAACCTACAAACGCCAGGTTCATGAGGTGCCCCTGGGGAAGCAGGTAACCGAAGCCGTGGTCATTGAGAAGATCACCTGGGCTTCCTGGACAAGGTGACTGAAGCAAATGTATCTTGAAGAAGGAACAGGGAGTCTGCTGTCCCAGGCTCTGTGGTGGCTCTGAGATGGCCAGGGCTTGAAGCACACAAATTGTGGTGGTGGTGGTGGTGTTTGCCTCGTGGGAGTGAAGTGGGGAAGCTGTTGGCAAAGGTTTAGCCCGATGGCTTGATCTGATCTGGGCTTCTGAAATGTAAAGTCCCGTCTTTTAATATAATCACTTGTACAAGTCCCTAACGCCATCTGTCAAGTTCAGAAGAAACCATCTCCCAGCTTCTGAGCATGCTAAGTGTGCCGTGAAGCCCCCAGTCTCCAGGGGAAGGGAGTGGGAAGCCTAGGACTGCTGACCATCAGATTAAGCAGTGATGCCTGGCCAGATCAAGAGATGAGACTCACCAAGCCTTGAATCTGAAGAACCTTTTTCCTTCTTCCCGTACATGTGTCCAAGAGGACTATGAGGAAGAGGGAATCAAAGATAGGGTAACCTTTCTTTCTGGAGAATTAGAGGATCGAGGCAGAGGAGGTCAGTATGATCTGGTACAAATGTATGGAGGAGGAGGGGATGGATGTGTCCATGACCAAATGGCCACCTGACCACACTGAATTAGCGGAAATCCCTGTCTCCCGTTCGCCCATGGGAGAAGATGGCTGACCATAGGAAAGTTCCTCACACTTCCTAACACGGCTTTCTTTGGAACAGCACCCTGGGAGACGAGGTCATTGGAATCTGGCCACGAAATGCAGACAAGGCTGATGTCAACTGCGCATGTGTGACCCATGCTGGCCTGAATATTGTCACAGGAGACGATTTTGGGCTGGTGAAGCTCTTTGATTTTCCATGCACAGAAAAATTTGTAAGTTTGCCCGAGTAAGATCCCTACACTGCCTCCAGGCTTTCTCCTTTTCTGCAGTATGGAAGGAATAGTGGCCACAGCTAGATGGCCCTCTGGAAGACACAAGAATCTTTTCCTAGCCCCGTGGAGATCTGACAGTGACTAATGTTTTCATCTCTTTCTGGAAGGTCAGACAAGGGAGGACAGAGTGTCGACAAAATAGCCACGAGCTGGGCAAGGACGGGAGGTGGAAAGCTAGCTCACTGTGTCCACCCTGAATGAGAGTCCCTAGTGCAAAACAGCCTCCGGGAGGGGATGAGTCCTGAAGTACTCAAGTTCTGTGGTTACTGGGAAAAGCAGTCTCTCAGCTATCTCCATTTGTTTCCACTTACAGGCCAAACATAAGCGATACTTTGGTCACTCTGCTCATGTGACGAATATTCGTTTCTCTTATGATGACAAGTACGTGGTTAGCACTGGTGGAGACGACTGCAGGTAGTAACCTGATGATTCTGATTCTGACTTCTCAGGCCTGGCCTGCTCTCCTGCCCCATTTCAGGGACCCTCCAGGTCAGGCTGTCATGGACAGGGGTAGGGCTGATGCGAACAGTCAGGGGGAAGTCCTGGGACTCTTAATGCACGCAAGGACTTTCCAAGCAGAAGGTATTAAGTTTCTGGTGATTCTCAACCTACATTTTGGCGAATGTTTCCAATAGAGCTGTCCTGAGATTGGCGAGGAATTAGTAGCAGCTATTCTGAGCATTGTTGGGGGAAGGAAAGGGGGTAGGAGACTCAAGATGGTTGGTTTTAGGTGCTCTCGACAACCATGAGCATCATTAAGAATAATGAAGTTAGAATGGAAATTCGTTCTAGCTCCTAGGTGATTGCTAGTGTCCTTAAGATGCGTAATTAATCCTACAGCTAAGAAAATTTTTAAATATTACTAGTACTGAGCCTTAGATTACCCTAAAAAAATAAATAAAACAAGCAGGGCAAGTGCTAGCCCAGTTTGACATACATAAGATCACGTAAGAAACAATGCAATGAGTTCCAGCACTGGTTGGTAGGAGACTCTCAACCAGCTTATTTAGACCACAAACAGGCAGCTTTTGACTTTAATGTGAAATCAGCAATTATTCTGTGTAAGGCAAGACCAAGAAGCCACAGTTAGAACTTTGAACCAAGGGCATCTCTTAGTCTGGAGGGACAGTTCTAGGTCATTCTCAGTGTCTCTACATTTGATGTCACTGAAATGCTTTATTGCAGCATAAATGTTGGTTTCAGTTCAGCCCAAGGTGAGGAATACAGAAATAGCTGCCTTCTGATACTTTTGGTTAGGTTGTGGGAAAGGCAGCTATAGAAAATGAGCTAAAAGCATCGTTGGAGAACTCAGCACTAAGGACGCTTTCTGATGCCCTGGTGGGGAGTGCCCTGTGTCAGCCTGCTGTGCCAACTGCTGCTGGCACTTAAAACCCTTGAGATAGTACTGACAGCAGTTCATCGTGAAATGTGAACAGCTGTTCGAGGTGCTTTGGCCAAACCGTGAATAAGGTAGAAATGGAGCCCTAAGGGGGAGACACAAGGTGACTGGTTTACTACAGAGGACTATAATCTTGAAGATGCAGGGCACAGAGGCTTTTGGAGACATGGAAGTGTTTCACAATCCCTGGCTCTGTGCTAAACTCGCAGGCTGTCGGACTCAAGTGGTGCTGTTAAAAGCTTTCTGATAGTAGAGTGTGAAGTCAAACTGCCCAAAGCCCTCCTGACCATTCAGCACATACAAGCTCCTGGAAGAGCCAAACTACACAAAAATTAAAGACTTTTAAAGAGAGTAGACCTTAAAGTGGTGTGGCAAGATCCCTAGTTTACATTTGGAAATAAAAATGTATCACCTGACCTTGATTTACAGGCACTTACCAAGATTTTTGGCCATTTGACAAAGGTATAATATGCAGCCATGCAAAAATGACTGCTTTGTTCTGTTTTTCAGTGTGTTTGTGTGGCGATGTCTGTAAGCACCAGGACGCTCTTCTGATGCTGCTGCTGCTACTGTCACCCCAGCAAGCGCTGAGGCCACCTTGCCCCAGCTGCGGGGAAATACCTACCGTGCTGCAGGGACGCACATACTCCAAGCGCTGGTGACGTTTTTGTGTATGACTGCTCCCGTGATCTGGACTCTTGGAAGAAGGTAAAGTTCTAAAATGTTAACAATACTTGCCTGTTTCTGACACTAAAAACTATACATGCGTTCTACATTGAGGAAGAAGTCCTATCTGATGATGTAGCCCACTGACAAAATTTAAAGCCTCAGTTACTCTAACCAGTATGTAGCTTTTAATTTGCATCAAAACTTTTCCAAAAGATGTTTTGCTATTGTTTCTATGTATTTCAAGAATGTTCATTTTTACAAATAAGTTGAACAATAACTTGCATTACATGCACCAGAAGTACAAGAAATACAGCTGTTCTTTAATTTAGCTTTCAAAACCAAATGAGCCATGTATAAACAAGTTGAGAAACTTAATTTTTAAATGTTTCATTTGCAGTTTTATATCCATTAAGTGCCTTTCAGAGTTTCCAGTTGTGTAGGCTGCTATTTCACCTCCACAAATTATCTCCTTTCTGCATATGGTGCTAAAACTTCCAAACTGAGGGGGCTACAGGACCCTTAGCTAATTCACAGTCTTGTCACCTGTGTCCTGGGTTCATGTCAAGCCTTTCTGAATAAGAGAAATCAGTTACCTGCTTGGGTAAACATGATGGTAAGGAAGTTGAGCGGCAAAGGAACTTAAGTTTGGCAGGGAGTAGAATGGATTTTCATTGTGTTAGTGCCAAACCTGCAAAAACCCAAAACAGAATTCAAACAGAAGCAAACCACTACTACAAAACAGAAGAAACGGACAACTACATCCAAGATGGATGTGTTGATTTATCTTGCTAAATCTTAAAATTAAGGTGATCCGAGACTACACCTTGGCATACCACCCCCAAAGTGGGGTTGATTTGACTTCTTTAATTTGTATCAGGTCAACTATGTAAGTCTACATTTAAAACAAACAAAAAATCCCCGGGGGAACCAATTCCTAAACGCAAGGAATATTTAATAAACCAAAAGTATAAAACTAAATGATTTAGCTTTCAGTACCTGAGTAAAGTTGTGTAATAGACGACAACTTGAACACTATTACACCATGCCAGCCCCAAAGCCCCTCAAGTCATACATGTAGTGACCACTGACCGTGGAATGGGAAGACTAGTGAGCGAACTGTGGCTCTGAGGACAGATGCCCACTAGTCCTCCTCGTCAGTGCACTGAAATTCTGAAACTTGAGTTCAAAGTTACCAGCTTTGAGAAAAGGTGAAACGAAGCATTTTCAATTAAAGAATAAACACCACAGAAGTGCTTCAGCATTCTAAATAAATTACTCATTAAGCTCTTTTTATATGCCAATTTATTAATGCCTTACATTGATCCACTAACAGATTGTTGGGCCTGCAGTAGAGTCCCCATGGAGTCCTAATTCTGTTTTCTGTAGCTATGTGACTGGTGATGCTGAGTGATAACCATGTCTGCCTATACTGTACTAGCCACCTTTCTTTTTGACTGGACCTTACACTGAAATAACCATCTGGCTGAACAACGAACTAACTGATCAATGATGTATATAACTACATATATTTAAAAGAGCAATAGTGTCTGTGTGTTAAGAATACTTCTTAATCTTATTTGTAAACATTTATATGGTATAATTTTATGTATATTCATAAACCCTGCACTGTACTCTGTTAAATATTGGTGCATGAATTTATTTTCAGTCATCAAATTATAAAATTTAAAAACATTTTGGTATGTGTCAAATAAATTTGTTTACATAAACATGAGAACGTGTTCTTTGATTTTTGTTTTCTGAAACCCTTCCTGAAACCTCACTGCCTGACCGTCTGTCCTCTGTCCTCTTTAATCTGCTACACCTTCATGAAAGCAAAACACCAAACACATCCTTAACTCTATAAGCTTTATTGATACTTTGCTTTTACAGTTCACAATGCATTCCACAGATTTAGTTCAATACAGCTTAAACCACAATGGTATAAGTCTTCAGTTTATATTTCTTGCATAACAATGTTTGATATTTGCAAACAATATTTTTGGAAGCATTAGATTCAGTCCATAGATCAAGTCCGTGATAAAATTAACTACAATAAGTTTGTGCAATGAAGTTTGTACTGGAGTTCGATGTGGCATTGTTTCATGGTGAAAACAGATGGTAATGTTCCTAGAAAATACTTCCTCTTTCTAGCTTATGTGTTTTGTAACTACACATGAATAACCAATGACTGAAGTATCAAGCATGATAGGGCAGTTGGGAGGTAAACGTCTAAGCTTTGTGAAACTATACAGAGATATAGATCATCTATATTTACTTATATTGGCAATTAATATAACAGTAAAATTCACAAAACACCTAGAACATACCAGAAAGGCAGGCGCTTTTATGCCTGCCTTAGTGCTATGATCGTGTCTAAACATCATTTCAGAAAACCTGCATCTACACAGACCAGACAGTGCACAAACTGTGGAAAGGGCTGTTTGTCAGCTCCACCTTCTCTGCGACTTCCCGGAATACAGCAAGACTACCTGCGACAAGTGTAATATACAGCTTTCTCAGATCATGTTTTATTCACCAGTGCCTCATACAGGAAAACATGATTACAATTTAAATCCATACATAGCAGCTTACAATACTTAAAATGATAAACACATGGCAGTCAAGACAGGTAATTTTTCCTCAAACAGTGCATTGCTAAAAATAAAGATTGGTGAACCGGCACTGCGACGTCCAAGTGTCATTCTTCCCTGGCCCTCCCCCATGTAATCAAACGAGTACCCCCTTTCTGGGTGAACAGTGTTCACTGTTTAGGGCCTTTTCATTCAGCTTTGCGCTTCAATCCTGGGATTTTTGCTTGGATTCTACAAATGAAAAGAAAGTAAAAAATATCAATGAAAATACTGTTATTTTTGTTTTTTGATTCGTAAAAAAACGCCATCGTTCAAGAACTATGTTACTATTTAGCATATACAAGAAATGAAGTCCTAAATGTGCCAAATTATGCACTATAATTTCATCTTTATCTCAGAAATTAGATTTAAACACCATAAAACTAAACGGTGATCCAAATGTTAATAATCTTTTGCCAACATCTGATGCTCTGATGGAGATTATTCATTATGCCTGAAATATGAAAATACTGCACTAGCATACTTCATTCTTCGTTGGAAAAAGTTGCAGATTAACTTACTTAGCCATGGCATCTTTAACATTCTTATTTGCGAGTCCCAAATAATGGTCTATTTGTGGCTGAAAGAAAGGAAATGAATTTATTAGAAAATTAACATTGCTAAAGAATCTTACAGAACATTGTATGCCAAGAAATTACAATATTAGGACTGTATTTCTCATTTACATGGCTTTGAAGCAAGCACTGTCTTCTAAAGTCAGCAATTAAATTACCTGATGTCGTTCATAAATAACAGGGACGCTGAAGAGTGAAATCAGAGCTGAAAAAGGAAATACAAATCTTTTTTTAAAAAGTTGTGACTTAGATAATGAATATTAACCTACTGATGACACTCAAGCTAACAGCCAGGCAGTAGTATATCCCTAGTGAATGAATACCAGGATCTCCTGAGTGTCTGCTGAGGATCCACTCTAGAGGAATGGGTTAAGGAACTATGCCTCGCTTCAGATCATCACACTGGTGCTTTGTTGTTGTTTTAAAATACAACCATCTTAGGTCAGATCTACCACTTTACAATGAAGCAGGGTCTTTCATTTTCTGGTTTATCACTGTTAGCTGGAGCAGTCTTCAGGAACTAAAGTAGCATTTCAATAAACTGAGATTCACTATCAGCTATTTAAGAGATCACAACTTCAAATTTACATAATTTTTTTTACAATATAAGAAACATACTACACTAAAATGTTTCTAAGTCCCCCACATAAATCATGTTCTATAATTTTTCATTTCCACTGTTTTATAGACTTACCCAAAATCAGTAGTGTCAGACCATTGAACAAGGCACCAACATAAGTAAATACCCACATCAACACTGCAAACTATAAGAAATCATAAAGAGTATTTAGGTAAAGTCAAACATCCGCCAAAGAGTAATCAATCAAATGCAAATCTACTAGAGACATATACCTTAAGAACTGAGTAAAATAATTCAGTTACTTAGTTACCAGTCTTAATTCAAAATTTCAGAATCTGGACTAAGCCAGTCAAGGGACCTGCTCATTTTCTTAAAACCACCACAAAATACATAGATGACCTGTTTCTTTTGAGGCTGGAGAACATGTCAAAGGTGCACCTTACTCCAAGCTCTAGCTTTTAAATGGGAAGACGGAAAAGGGATTATGAGAATTATTAATCTTAAAGTACTAACAAAAGTGCTTGCAGACATCCTGAGGTCTAAATCAGTATCTCTGGCATGGCAGGTACTTCCTCCCCATTTTACTGGATCTATCAGTTGCTACCTGTCCAACGTTCTGTGACCATCACCATGACAAACACAGACACTGAAGCACAGAGAGGCTTTTAATAACTTGCCCAACATCAGATTATAGCAACCTACGTTTCGATATCCCCTCCAGGGGCTCCAGATGGTAACGCATGCCCTAAACACCCCTATTTTATGCCTGGCTTAAATTTGAGTTTTTAAAAAAATTATTAAATGAAGCAGTTTGGGAAAATCTTTGCATCTAAAAAGTGATTTCACTTTGAAGTCTTTTTTCTTTTCCTCTCCATGCTTTATTCATGAATGGTTAGATTTCAAAATTTTTTTCCAGTTATAAAACTTCATGACATCATACAATACGAAGGCTCAATGCCATGTTGAGCAGTTCGTGAAGACTTCTTAGCGTAGATAAACCTGCGTTTATCCAATATGCCTTATCCCTCACAGTTGTTTCTTTCCTAATTTGAAGTCTTTCTATGTCTGGCAATTACTCTGATCTATTTGGTAGGTAGCAAACATCACTGTGATGCAACCAACCACAGTAATTATTTACGTGGACAGTGATACAGCACAAATGAGAGCAGAGTAAGAGCTCTGTTATCTAAAGAGGAATCAGCAAACTCTCTTGTTAAACTGCTGGACAGTGAGCACTTTAGGCTTTACGGGCCTCTATCTCATTCTTCCTGACTTGTTTCCATTTTTTACAAACTTTTAAGAAAATACAAGCCACTATTCTTAGCTCCCAGGTTACCCAAAATCTGGCCATGGGCTAAACAGGCAGTAGCTTCTTAAGCCTTGATTTAAAAGCATATCTTTCTTCGTATATTTATTTGTATAATAAAATGTGGCTGAACTGACTATTATGAGCTGGCTATTAAAGCCTTAAAGTGTTTAAATTCTAGTAAGCACACTTACTGCAGATTAACAAAACCCTTTGGATTCCTCCATAAACTTTCAGTTCTATGAACAGTGACATTCTGAGCATCCCTTCAAACAAATATTACACCGATTTTATCTTCCTAACTCAACTATCAGGAGACCCTGGCAAGACAGAATGATGCCTACCACATCAGGTCTTTAAAAGAAAACTGATGAGCCTTGGAGTTTGGTCACTTCTTTGAGTACATTTGAAAGTTATAAGCGCCTTAGGAACGGATATGTATTTGTATAGCATTTTATAACACTTTTATTTTCCCTTATCATTCCCATCAATATCCTTTTCCCTCATCCCAGATCCCTTTCCCATCTCTACAAAGTCTACCTCCTTGTCATTTCCTTTTTTAAAAGCTCTCCATAGAAAACTGTAAAACATAAGAATGATCAAAAATAAAAAGCAAACGCATAGGAACTCGTTCTGTAAAGGTGCTCTTTTTCTGCAAAGGTAGTAATACACTACTATCATTTTAGCAAAGAGCAAAGAGTGATTTTTTTTTTTTTCAATAAGTGTCAGGAAAGAATCCTGTTTATACAGTACCCTTCCTCAGCAGAAACAAATGGTATGTACCCCAACATAACACTGACGCTAAGAAAAGTCTTAAGTAAATTCTCACGTAGTAGCACCAGAGTTCATCAAGGCAGCTTTCTGGTACGTTATCAGAATGTGCACCTGAACTAGCAAGAGCTTCATACTCATCACCTTTGCATAAGGTGAAGCGCCAGACACCCTGCCATTTCTGTTCGTCTGTTCGTTTGTTTGTTTATTTTGCCTCCATGGATTTTGAGACCTAATGCCCATGCTAACGATGAACAACTGTCATTTATTTGGAGAAGTCACCAAGCAGCTTTTATGGAGTTCTGAGCTCCCCAAAATACTCAACTGAGTATGATTTCCCAATTCTTTCAAAAGTTTATTAATTCTTCAAGAGAAAGTCTAGAAAACCACAACTGTCAGGCAAGTCTTTTATCCTCCATTATTGTGTAACAAATACTGGGTATTGTGCTACACATCTGTAATCCCAACTACTCAGGAAGCAGAGACCACCCTAGCCATTAGCAAGACCTGTCTCCAGAAAACAAAACCAAAACCAAAAAACCCCCGAAACAACCCAAACCCAAAAGGCTGGGGAATGTAACTCAGCAGTAGAACTCTTGCCTAGCATGCATGAGCTTTGGGTTCAATTCCCACAGACTGAGAGGAAAGGAGAAAAGGAAAGGAAAGAATGCAAGCTTAAGAAACCTTATAATTTGTTTTAGTTTGTTTTTAAATAGAATGACTCTTCTCTCAAGGAAAACATTACAGGAAGACAGAAAGATAGGGCAAACATGGCTATCAGACAGTGATAAGCTCTCCTCCATCAAGCTTCGTTAGGCCTGGTTTGAAGGCATCTCCCCCAAACCCAAGTCTTCGGACAGCTCTTTCCTCAGCCAGCTCCTCCCCACAAACCTGGTAAATGCTCTCGTGCCTTTTGCTCAATGACTTTTCACCCGTGCTTTCCCCTAGCAGTCAAGTACCACTTTAATGAAGAGGTTTCATTTAGGCCATGTGAAGAAAATTCTGCTGCAGTTAACTCAGAAATGTCCTTGTTTTCTCTTGAAGCTAATTAATCAACATGCTAAACAACATAACCACAATCTTTACACACTGACATTAGATCACTTCAAAACATTACTGCAGAATAAATCACTAAATGCAATTATTCTATTCAAAAGACAGGACATGAGAAAATTATTTAACCTTGATCATTAGTAACTCAGGTTCCAAGTTTAAGGGGGACACATAGCTGAACATATCTACTGGCTTAAAGGCCAAACTATTTGTTTACAGAAAGCATTTTAAGCACTTAAACCTATTACAACCAGATTAAAGACTTTTTCTCTGAGTCTACAGTCCTAATCATCCTACTGGTATGATACTCATCGTCTAGAGTGTATCTCCTTAAATACAAACGGCAAGTCCTAGGTGAAGGAAAAGCACTATATAATTTCAGTGCTTAGGGCTCAAGAGGCATGACCGTGTTTCACAGCTTGTTTCAAGTTAATCAGAACTGCGGGTGATTATAAGGCAAGACTCAAAAGCGGAAGAAAAATTTCACAAGTTACCAACCAAACACTAAGGAGTTTCAGAATACTCCAAGAAAGAGTCCAAGATATGACATTTTTTTCTGTATAAATCACATAAAAACTAAACTACATATTACACCCTTAACACGAAGTAGAAAACCATCAGGTACAAAATGCATTAGATAATCTTTATTCTTTTTTGTTGTTGTTGTTGTTACTGATACTGGGAATCGAACTCACAATCTTGTGCTTGCCAGGCAGACACTGGGCTGCTGAGCTGTATCACCAGCAATCTTTTTTTAACACTTAGAATTTCCTTTAATTTTTTCACTTTTAATCTTTATGATTTCCAAAAGTGAATTTTGTAATTTATTTTCCTATTAAAAAAGAACAGTCCCTTCCCCCACTCTAAATGTGACTGAATGCTAAATTTTAAAGCATGAAGTTTATAGTAATGTGCTTTTACTACATCTTTACCACTTATCTAAGTACAGAAAAACAGAATTTTATACTCTTAACTCTTGATATTAAGTTTTGAAATGTCATAAATGAAAAGCAAAATAAACTTACCTTCAGAGAATCAACTAAATCATCAACCAAGAAGAGGCGCCTAAGTTCTTTTATGGTGCAGTTCACATGCCCAAGAGCAGAATTACTGTATTTCTGAACCAATTCCTCAGATATAGCAACTTTAGATTCCAAGTATGCCCTAGAAACAAATCATAACCATCACTGATTGGAGTGATTTGCTCCCATAATGTCAACCAGCAACAATATATCTATAAAAGAAAGAGGTAATAAAAAATCCTACTGTAAAAGCCTATTGTTTCTCCATGAAGCATAATATAAAAACTCTCCAAGCAAGGGGCAGCACTGTCAGCTGACTGCCACAGGAAAACTGTGTGCTTTGACGCCAGGCCAGTCCGCAGCCTGCTCCTTACTTGGCTACGTAACTTTGCAATGTTAGTCTTCATTCCCCCTTTATTTTCTCATTTATAAAAGAGATTACGTGAGGATTCAATGAATAAAGTGCTTAATATAATAGTGCACGAAGAATCACTCAATCAGTGACACTCGATTATAGGTTTGGTGTTTTGAAAGCTGCCTGTCACGGTGCCCAAGCTTTCCTACTGAGCTCCTCTTTATGTATACATCACCCACACTCCATCTAATCTGCATTTTAGCTCCAAGATACTAAACACTGGACTATAAAATGGCTGCTAAAAGCAACTGCATCCACCAAAACATAGTATTTACTTATACCACATCTAGATTCCCTAATTTATACTGACATGGCTGAAATTTTAAAATTGAAGATAACTACCAGGGACAGATGAGGGGGTGTTGTCCAAGTCTATAGGAATGACAGAAACTGTTTCATTAGTTGTTATTTCAAAGAAGCCACTTCATCTTGGAAGGTGGAGCCAAATCGCAAGTGCTGAACGCTCTGTCCTGCCTGTTGAGAGGGCTCCACACCCGGGCCCTCCTTCCTGATCACTTCCTCCAGCTGCGGACACCAGGCTCAGACACTGGAACAGCCTTCTATACAGACAGCTCCTTGTCTAGTTTTCTCTCTTCCGTACTCAAATATGTCTCGTTTTTACTTACAATGCCATTACTCTAAATTTATTACTTATAAACTACTTTCTGAGTATGCAAACTAGCCTCAGATGTATCTCCAGCCTAATCTACTTTATAAACCAATGCCAGATTAGCTTTAGTTGAGTGATCCAGAGACTGCTGTCTATAATGAACTCAGGTGGGACTTAGGGGACTTGCCTAGCTATGTAATTTTTTTTTCCTTTGGGTACCAGGGATCGAACTCACAACCTTGCACTTGCCAGGCAGGTGCTTAGGCCACTGAACTAAGTCCCTGGCCCAGCTATGTAATCTTGCAAAAGGCATGTAACTTCTGATTCAGGGTTCAGGCTCATTAATTAGAGAAACATTCATATAGAAAACAATCAAGAGAACATTTCAAAGGGATAGTACAATAGGAAAGGAATTCTAAAATCATTCTGGGTCAGCATTAGAGAAGCCTTCTTGAAAAAGCTGAGTTTTGAGCCTAATAAGAATTATGATATATTAGAACATCTTAGCAATTAATGATAACAGCATGACAATGGGCACGAAACCTCAGAGGGATAAATAAGAGATAAAGTTATTTGGACTTCATCCTATGACGAACAGAAGTCCTCTGGACCTAAAAATATAAAAATGGTATTTTAGAAAAATTAATCTGAGGCCATCTCTAACAGTGGAGGTAATATGAGGAAACCAGAAGTCAATCTGTCACCTGGAGCTGAGCCAGGGTAGGCAGACAAAGGGCCAGACAGTCTTTAGGCCCGGACACCCCTGGACAGTCTTTAGGCCTTCTTCACAACTGCTGCAGTCTGCACTCTGCTGCTGTAACCTGAAATCCGCTAAATGAGCAAGCACTGTGGTCCAGCAAAACTGTGGACAACGCAGTTCACAGCCTCCTGCTCTAAACTAAGGAATAAACAGGAAACAAAATGTAGTGATCCTTTCACATGAAATGAAAACAAGGAGAACACTAGAAGCTAGCATGACAGTAGTGGTGTCACCGACAGAAATTAAGTTTGAGAGGGGCTGGGGGTTTAGCTCAGCGGCATGAGCACCTGCCTTGCAAGCAGGCAGTCGTGAGCTCGATCCCCGGTACCAATTAAAAAAAAAAAAAAACTTGAAAAACAAAGACATTACGTTTCAGGGAAAAATAATTTAAAGACAATCTGAATTATTAGTTGTCAGGGGCTGGGTAGGGAAATGCCTGCTAAGTGGGAATTTTTCTTTGATGAAATGAAAATGTAATACACTTAAAAAACCACTAAGTTTTACAGTATTTGAGTTAATCTCAACAAAACTGGGCAAAAATGCTGTTGAGCAGTGTCTCAATAGCAAATTCACATAAACTGCTAGTGTATTCTTGTGGCAGCAAAGGCAAAAATTAATACTTGCAGACAAGGAGACACTGAAATAAAGCTCTCTAAAAAGAAAAATAATGCCTTGGGAAATGAAAAGAAAAAATTGGAAAAGAAATGGTAAGAAGGGGTAGGAAAAAAGATGTAACATCAGATAACACTATCAGGAAACATAAAAAGTAAGCATGAAAACGTAATTCATCACTACAGCAGAATGACGTATCCATTATCTACTCCTAATAAATCAGCATTCCTAACAGTAGTACAGAGTAAGCTAACAAATGATATATAAACCCAAAGTAGAAATAAAGAGCAAAATAAAAGAGAACAGGACTCAGGGAGAGAACTGCTCTGTCCTGTAAATGGGAAGGCAGCCGAGAGGAACTCAAGAGTCAGGACGCGTCACGCACACACACCGACTCCCACAGTAAGTGTGACCAGTGCACACTGCAAGCACACTCATTTTAAAGACCCTTAAAACGTCTTACCTGAATGGGTGGCCTTCCTCTGATTTCTGGATAGCTTGGATCACACCTTTATATATCCTAAAGCTGATAGTGACAGAGAGCAGAGCCAAAGCAATGTAGGCTGTTACACTCACAATGCTAAATACTGTCAACGACAGCAGCAAGAACAAGCTGGCTCCGAACACCACTCCAGTCTTCTTGATGTCTCTCCAGTAGAGGAGGTCAACAACTACAGGAAGAAGGGAGAAATCGAACTTAGCACATTATCCTACCATTTGAATTTAACAGTTCACATTGGTTACACCTACGGAAATAAAAGCCTATTTAGATAAAGTAAAAACCTAAACTGTTAAAGGCTAATTTTGTGAGCTATATTTTAAGCCCATTCTCAATTGTGTATTAAAATAATGTTACATCCGTCTTTATTTTTTACTACAAAATGTTTTTCATTCGACTCTCTATTTCCTGCATCATTCTGGATGTAAAATTATGTCTCAAGCTCAGCAGACTGCTAGCCCACAACGGATTACTGCAAGCCATCAAGCATTTTCTTATTCATACATGATATACATTCAAATAACAGGAAATGTTAACAATTGCTAAAATAAGATACGCTTGAGTAACAAAAACTGCAGAAAACCAATTCAAGAAAACATTAAGAGCCTGAAACTTTATTTTTAAAAAATATACATCTGAGATTTACAGTTCTGCTTTTAAGAACAGGGAGAACTTTAAAATTGTAACTTAGCTTGACTATTACTAACAGAAAAAGATAAAACAGATAAGTCTTCAGATAACTGAAATGCTTCCTTCCTCTAGGAATACAAAAGTTAAATATCTAGAGGCAAAATGACAAAGAAAAACTAAAGGTATTACCCTATTACGTAACGTTTATTAACAGTCAGAGTCAGATAAAGCGTAACTGCAAGTCAGCTCATGGTTCTTGGTCACAGGGCCACTCTGAGAATCAAATAACCCAAAGGCCTGTGATCGCAGGAACAGTTTATGCTCAGCCCTAAGAGAACTCTGCAGTGTGCCAAAGGGCTCTTCAATTCACAGGCTGGATATAATTCATCTCTCCCTGGATTGTGAATAATTGGAAGGAAAAATTTTTATAGTAAAATAAATATATATTCAAATAGAAATTTAATTTAATTTTAATTTAAAATAGAAATTGTTAATTTGAAGATAAAGGAGGTGATATTTGGTTTTGAGCCCAACATCTCAGACATGTATGACCTTTCTTTACCATCAGAGGTACTTCTATAGGAAAAACTATATGTAAACTGAGAAGTGTTAGATATTATTACAAAGTCATTAATTCCTGCCAGTGTATAAGTACTGATTAAATATTGTCTCATATTATTCTCCAAAAGTAATTGTTTGATAATTTAACATTCCCTATATATTTTAGATTTTTAAAGAATTTCTAGACTCTTAATTTCAAGTCTTCTCCAACTTGTTACAAACCTCATAAAATATCTAAATCAATTTTGATTTATGCAACTGATGGTTTGTATACAAACAATATACTAGCAAACCTAAGGGCAGACCAGAACTTTAGTCTTGTCATAACATTATCAATAGTTATATTCAGTAGACAGTAAGCAATGTTAATTCAGCAGACACTGAAGGGATACTGTTCATGAAACTCAACTTTGCAGAATGAGTTAGAAAATATGAAAATAAAGAAATGAAATTTGCTTTAAGGCCCTCTCCAACTTAAAAACACTACAACCCTAAAAAAGATACAGAAATAACCCAGTAAGGTTTCCTATGATAAGAACTCAGAAGTGAATTAAAAAAAAAAATCTGGGACAACTTTTAAAAGACTGAACTACAAATAAAAACTGAGCTGAATCTTTAAGAATGAGCAAGATCTAGGAAAGCTGAAGGTGTAGGCCTTACTATATTTCTTTTTGCTAGCACTAGCTCTAATAATTATCATTTTTTCCTTGCAGTGGCTCCATAACTTAGCTTTGTGTCACCTTAAGCAAATCTTTAAACCCATCTATACTTGAGCTTCTTCACCTATAAGATGTATTTTAAAAAAAAGAATCCCATTGAGATGTGATTATATAAAATAATGAATTAAGATTTTTCATTAATAAGCTCTTAATACAGTGTAGAGCATAATACATTCTTACTATCAGGACTGTTATTTGTTTTGTTATTAGGTAAGACACACTTCAAATATATTTTTATATAAATTCTTTATAAAAATGTCTGGTCCTTAAAGTGCATGAAAAACATTTGTTAATCTTCAAAATCACTATCGATGAGGAACTAAAGTAAAGGCAAGAATATTCACTATCTCCTACCATTATTAAAAACTACTGGCTATCAAAGTAGTAACTTTAGACTTCAGAGGTATATACTGTATAAAATAAGTTAGTATTATTAAAAGAAATTGCTACCAGAAGCTATTCAAAGCAGCCAATCAATGTGTTTTACATGTATGAGCAGGAACAAAACTGGAACTAGGGTTCGAGAGACCCAATTCCCAATACTGGCTCTGCAACTATGTGGCTTTGGATGTGACTGCAACCTCTATGAACTCTAACTTTATCATTAGTAAAAGATATTAATCATCTAACCTCTTTATACCTTTCAAAACTAGTAAGACTCATAGTACAACGTCATACACAAGTGCTACATTCAAATTCACATCAACACATTGGAATCTCTGGGAATTTACTACCGGTATTAATCTGTACCAAGTATACTTTTAAAATATCCCTTTTCCTTTTTAGCTTTAGATTTTGGGGGGAGAAGGAGGGTTTTAAAAAGTCTAAAAAGCTTTCTAAGTCTGACAGATGCTTTAGCAATGTTTTCCAGGTCACTGATTTACATTCTCCGATCTCCACACCTTCATTTTCTGTGCCAACATTTACTGGAAATTCACACTGTTTATAGCCTATTTTATTTCAATTATTAAAGCCAAATGAAAGGCAGGCTTTCGACAAGTGAAGCCCAGCTCTTTATGACTGGACTCAAAACTTCATTATAATTAGAAAGTGAAAGAATGTGGATATGAATTCTTCCTATTAATAAAACTCAAACCTGCTATGTATGCTATCAGATTGAAGTTCAAAATATTACACATCTGCATGTATAAAAAATAGGCAGAGTGTAAGCAGATAATTATTACATGTGAGGTAAATAACAAAGGCCAAGAATAAACACTCAGTAAAATTGTAAGATGGGTTAATAAGGGACACACACTTTAATGTGAACATTTAACTACAGTTAGAGCTCTGTTCCGATATGTAACAGATACTTTCCAGAGTAGAAAATTGTAACTGATCAAGTTGCTAAAAGCTATGTAAATTTAATTACATAAAAAGACACCTGAAGTGATACGGAGTACTACAAAAAGAGTGAGCACAGTGTGGGCTGACTGTAAAGTCTGAAAGGGCATCTATTGAGCAGAGTTCCTACTTCTGGGTAGTAGGTTTTCTGTGAGTTTTATTTGCTTCTTTATTCTCTTCTGTGCTATGTGAAATCATCCCTCTCTAATGACAAGCACGGATTACAATTACAACTGAAAGATCTTTACTCCTTTCTGTTATATTCAATGTTACGGGGAGGGGGGCGGCGCGGGGACCCTGTGAGTGTGGTTTTCCCAGGAGGCTTTCCTACTGGAAAAGAATGTACTGTCTGCTAGCTTACTAAATACTTGGACCCAGCTGACAGTTAAAATTTTACTAAGTTGAAAATTCCAAATGTTTTGAGTTGAATTAAGTCAATTTCCCTAAATCTGAGAAAAATAGAAGTTATATGTAAGATTCAGCAGGATTCAATTATCACAACCTAAAATAAATTTAACTACATAAAAGAACAATAAAATCTAACTAGTTCCTTAGGAATACAATCTTTTCAATAAATGGAAGAACTCTGGAAATCATACAGGCAAGCCAATCATACATGCACTGCATGAAAATCTCTCAAAACAGACATCATTATAGACATGTTGAAACACCCCTTGGAATTTGCGGCAGAATCAAGTTCTGAAAGACAAACAAAACAAACTGGCAAAAGAGATTAAATAGCCAGGTAAGACAAAATGAGTATGTTCTACAGTACGAAGGTCTGAGATGCAATCTATACTGCTAACCAAAGGCACTGTGGAAAGTATTTCAGTTTTTTTATTTTGTAAAGGGGTTTAATGGATTGTTAATGAAGCTACAAGGATTAAAAAATTCTGAATTTCTAATAAACAGTGTTGTTATCTAAGTTGTTACTTGCCAATAATATTCCTGTTCTCATAGAGTCCTTAAGGTTTTAATAAAAAAGATTTTGGAAGATTAAATTTATCCAACATCTCAACAAAAGAGGAAGAGAAGAGAACATTCCTAACCTGATAAACAGCATCTATATGGTGTAGAAGAGTGAAATCTTTCACCCACAAATAGGAAGACAAGTATCCTTTCCTGCAACTTTTACCACAATATCGTCCTGGAGGTATACATAGGACAGTTAGGCAAGAAAAATAAAGAAATGGCATCTAGACTGGAAAGGAAGAATTTAAACCATCTCTATTTGCAGATATAGTCTAATCTTACATACAGAGAAATCCCTAAAGAATCTGCAAGATCAACGCACAAAAATCAATTGTATTTCTATACACGAACAATGAACATGAATTTAACTAATGCCACTTATATTTGCATAAAAAATTAATAAAGTATTGGAGCTGCAGGTATAGACAAGTGGTAGATGGCTTGTCTTGCATGCACAAGGCCCTGGGTTTAGTACCCAGAACAATAAATTGTTAAAACATACAGGATTTATAAATTGACAACTCACTGTTGGATGAAATTAAAGATGACAAATGGAAAGATATTTCATATTTATGGATTGGAAGACTTAAGTTGGAAATATTCTTTATAGTGATTTACAATATAAGCCCTATCAAGTCCTAGCTGTCTTTTAGCTGATTCTGATGAAAACGAGACGAATACAGAATAATCTACACAATCTTGAAAAAGAACAGTTGAAGATTTGGATTTCTATTTCAAAATGTCCTACAATGCTATAATAATCAAGATAATAGACAAAAGGAAGGCAGGACAGAACAAAGGAGTACAGAAACAAACTGCTCATATCTATGACCAAGTGATTTCAAAAACGTGCTGTGACAATTGGTGCTGTGATCAAATGGTGCTAGGACAAAGAATTATACAACTGCAAAAGACACTGGGCTTGTCTTTACATGCGAAAATTAAC